CGTGTCAGAAGTAAAACAGGGGTTACTTGGGCAGAGCAGCTGGAGAGGGAATGAAGGGGACGCCAGTGGAGCAGCTGCCTGCTGGGAAATGTTCTATTTCCTGATCCTGAGGGTGGTTTACATGGGTTTGTGCACTTTGCGAACATTCACTGAGCCTACCTCTCAAGCCACCCACTCCCAGCTCCTTATATTCCAGCCATACTCCCCTTCTTCCTGAGCTCCAAAAATGGTAAGCTTGAACAAAAAAATGGTAAATGTGTTCTCATCTCAGGACCTTTGAGGGCTCACTGTTGGAGACACAATTCTGACTTCAGAAGCAATGGCTCCTTCTCACCTTCCAAGGTAGGGCTCTTTGCAAAGCCTGTCTGGAGTGCTCAATGCAAAAAGCCTTTCCCCACATCACTCATGCCTCATCACACTGCCGTCAGAAATCATCTCAAATGTTGACTTCCACACTTGCTTCTTATTGCTGACTCCTTTAACCAGGAATTTCAGCACCCTGGAGGGAAAGAACCTCGTTTGTCCTGTGGATGGCTGTATCCCCAGGACCACCAGCCCTGGCCGACAGAGAGCACACCTCACAAGCAGCCACTGAAAAAATTAATGTGTTCCACACACTAAGCAATGTCTTTTGTCATGGGGCTGCTCAAGACACCAAGCTGGAAAGGGGGGAAAAATGAGAGAAAGAGACGAGAACAAAAGGAAGTGTACAGTCGTGTAAAACAAGATGCCACCTCTGATGCCACACACAGGTATGGGGTAGGCCAGCTTGGAAACCACTATTCTGAAGCGGCTACGGGTGGTATTCTCAGCTGCGCCTCCCCACCTCAGGAGCTGCCAGGTGTAGGGTAAGCGTTCAAGAGACACTTAACACATCAGCACTCTTCCAAACAATGATTCTAAGAGATTGATTGAATGGCTCAAAGCACCAGGCTTGATACACCTGGATGGTGTGATTGATCCTAACTGCTAACTCACATACAGTGCTGTCAACCCATGTCAATTCCATAAAAAAGCAAAATTAAGAACCAGAGTTAGGAGTAGGGGGCTTTTTGTTTGTTTTCTGATCCTAAGGCTGTTGATTCAACTTACAGCGAGCACCTGGCAGACCCACAACACAGAGCTCCAAGCTCTGTGCACACAGAATGCCAGACAGGAAGCAGCTGAGGAAAGAATAAAGCCCTAAACAACAGAATTATTTTATCTCATATGGTAGAAACCGAGGAACTTCTGTCTTCTTAATGATCTGTTCTCAAGCCTTTTATTTTTTTTCCTTGTGTATTCATTGCATGGCTGCCTCGTTCTCTTAAGCTAAGGCGTAACGGCACATTTTTTAGCACTTGTTTTTTAGCAGTTATTCCCTCTGGGATTGGCAACTAAAATAAATCCCTCAGCAGACTCAGACCCTTTGAACCATTTGTGAAGTTCATGATCACCAAAATAAAATGAGCTAAGTGGTAAATGAACCTGTGGTATGGGAAAAAATGCTACTTAGAAAAAGAAAAAATAGTGAAATGTCAGTATCAGACATCATTAACTGATAACATTCTAGAGCTGGACCCAATGCAGCTAACGTTAAATTTCATCTCCTTATTTTATGAGTGGGTAAACTGATGTCAATTTCTGGAATTTTAAGAGGAAGCCCAAAGGGGATGTGTCCTTACAGGTTAAGTCTCTCCCCCTGAGAGCTGGGGTTTGACAAAAAGTTAATGAATGAGTATGTGAATGAACGAATGAATGGATGCAGTGATAGGTGTTCTCCTAGCTAGTTATAGAGCGAGTTCATGGCGGGGCCTATAAGTCAGTTTTCATTTCTCTTCTTTGGTAACACAAATTACAGCTACATTAGTTAGTAATGCTCTCAGGAGAACAGCCATGTCACCGAAATCACTTACTGACCTTAGTTGTGTTTTTTTCTCATTCTGCTTTTAGACATGCAAACAAAAGAAAAGAATGAAAAGTGCCAAGTAGGATGACATAAGAAAATTGCACTGCAGCCAGATCACACCTAGAAAATGACAGGAAAAAGGTAGGCAGAGAAGGCTCTGTGATTTTCTTCTCACTCTCACCTGATCTAAGAGATATAAAAGGTAGGAAGTTCGAATGCATTAGCTGTCAAATCAACAATAATCCATCTGAGGCACAGACTTTCCTAACAATGGAGCCATTTTATAACCAGAGTCCACAACTATGGGAACAAGAGGTAGAAATAAGCAGGAACGAGGTTGCAGCGAGCTCCCAGACACCACATACTCACTCCTCCAGGAAGTGTTGCTGAGGGCCGATAATGGAGCCGGGCCGGCATATTCTGATCCAGGCAATTATTTCCGCATGTGTAAATCTGTAGTGTTTCATGACATAACAAGCTATCAGCGTCCCCGTTCTTCCAAGACCGGCTGGAAAAGAAGGAAACAGAAGAAGAAATGCAAAATACAGCAAATGCATCCACAAAAATGCCGAAATGAAAAACTGCAATGGTTTCAAGTAGAAGGACAGAATTTCAAGTCTAGATAATAATGGATGCTTTTTATAGGATGTGGGGCTACCAGATACTTAAGAAATCTGTTTATAATAGATCATAGGATTAAAATAAACAGATGAGAAAATTAAAAAATCAGAGCAAGGCACTTGGAACTAACAAGTTCAACCCTGGGGACCTTTGGAAATGATTGTCTTTGTAATTATAGGTAAAGCAAAGTTGTTTCCCTGACAAACACTTGCCAAGTATTACCTGTCAGGTGTTCTCTGTGCTGCCTGTCCTTGGCCCCATCCCACCCCCACCCCAGGGAGATGCATCTATAGTTAGTATTTGTCTGTGAATGATACACAAGACAGTAGAGTAACTTACCATCATTATCATCAGGGTCATTTTTTAAAATATTTATTTATTTACACATACAGAACTGGGGTACAGGCCAGAGGTACAGGAGCCATGAGAAGATTCACCAGACACAGAGTGAGGATCGGGACAGGCAGATTGACAAAGTACACTGCTCAGGGGAGCAGCAGGCATGTCAGGAGAGGTCTGCTGCGCCATGTGGGTCACCTCCGGGGCCGGGGATCGAACTCTCACTGAAGCAGCTATGGCCAGCTTGCAATGCTGTGCTTTAGCCTGCTGTGCCACCAGAGAGGGCCTCAAGGTCATTTTTTTAAACTATGTAAATAGTTAGGGATTTAAAAATGATTTTAGTATAAGGAAGCAAGAATCAAAGTTAGGAGATACCATAGTTATGAAAGCCCCAGCGGCTACTAAGCCGCACTACATTCAGTATTTTTTCTGGAAGGTGGACATCCTTCCTAACCTCTGTTTAACATGGTGTCAAGTCTGTTTAATGATGTTAGAGACCAAGATTTCAATATTTGCTCAATCAGTCACTAACTTCTGAGGGAAGACCTACTACTCGCCAGGTACTGGGCGAGCTCTCTCCCCTGGAAGAGCTCTCGGGTCTCTGAGAAAGAACCAGGCAAACAGAAACTTCATTCCCTGAAGCTATTTCATTTTATAAAAGAGGTCCATCAAAACAAAGGCATTGACACAACTAAGCCGAAACAAACCCTCGAAATCAGCTGCAGAAGCTAGGAGGGGGGAGAAGGGGTGAAAGTGAGAATAAGGGGGGACTCGAGAGTCAATGATGAGGGGCTAACGGTGCTTTGGTGGTGGGTGTGGTGTGGGGACATACCTCTGAGGACATGTGAACCGATTCCCCTCATCATATGCCGTGTTGTAAACCCATGTGACCTCAATTAAATAAGAAATAAATATACAGTAAATCTAAAAAAAAATTAATGAGGTAAAATAATCTTGCTACCAGTATGTATTCCTTATGTTGAACCCAATCTCTATGTATTAAATGAAAATCATAATTATAAATGATTTCCAAAGAAGTATTGTTTATTGCTGTGAATTCCAAATTTTTCAAAGTGTCTTGTTACATTTTTTTTTCTAGCCAGAGAAGTAAAAATTGGCAGGACTTTATATTTTAGACAATATTTTAAATACATATATGTGTATAAAGGCATAAGGAGATATGTATGTTATGTGTGTATATGTGTGTACATACATGTGCATGTATGTACACACATGTAACTAGGAAGCAACAAGCTCAGAAACTAGGTTTAATTAAAGTGAGTCTCTCAGAGCAAAGCGGAGTGACTGAGAGCTGTTGGTGTCATAACAAACATGTCACTGATGAGGACTTTAGCCCACCCAAAGAGCAGAAAGGTCACTGAGCATTTTCAACTAAGGACTGGCTAAGTGCAAGTCTGGCTGCAGAACACGTGAGTGTGTAGAGCAGAAAGTAACTCAGCTGCATGTAAGCTGACTTCGTGAGGATACTCTCCCCAAATCAGATACACGCCCTGGGCACAGATCTCTGCCACCTGTTACTAATCTTCGATATATACAGATGATACATTGATGAACTCACATCCATTTGTAATGATTCTGGAATCCATGATTTATAAACAGCTAGCAAACACACACCTGCTATGAGGCAAAAAAAAATCTTCATTTTTTTTTTCATCAATGGAAAGAACAAGATGACACTGCCCGATATTTTGGAGGCAAAAAGTGAGATGACCTGGCGGAGGTCTAAGAGCTGTGCGGGAAAGAACAGGAGCCACGGAGAAGCACTCTGGGGCAGGAAGCAAGCCTGGCTCACAGGGGTCTGAGCAGAGTGGCAAGATGGAATTAAGAGTTGTAGGTCACAGAACACTGAATTTCTGACCTGGAAAATTGGCACAATGTCCATCTCATCAGTGAAATTATTTAGTCAGAAAAGAAAAGGGGATTTTGGAAGTTACATATTAAGAAACTCCCCTCACCCGTCCAGGGATGCTTTGTCACCTCTTCCTAGTCAAAATAAAATGCATCTTTTCTGATCTCCCCAGCACTCAGAGATACAGAGTATTTCAGTGGCTGTTAAGACAGCAGCACACGAGCAAATGCTGGGATATACGCCATTACTCAAGTTCCACCAAGAAAGAAAAATCAAATCATGACACACAATTCATTTCAAGGTCCCTCTTAGTTTCCTGAGTGTGAAAAAGGTGTGTCCCTAAATCAGAAAATCCTAATTTACTCTCCATCTTGATTCATTAATGCCCCCTCCAGAAACTTTTCAGACTTTGTTTCTGAATCATATTCCATAAAACTTTACTGCCAGTGATACAATGCCTATCTCTTTTGCTTTGTACCAAAAAAAGAGTTTCCTTTACCCCTAAAAAACAATTTTTCCAGGGGGGGCAATATTACACTAATACAGTGTGTTATTAGATGAGGGCTTTATTGGGAGGGAGGGAGGGGCTATTTTCATTTTAATTACCTTTCTACCCAAGATCAAAAACATCCACATTGTTTAGGAAAGACTGAAACTTCATTATGGTCTCAGTGGGGCTCTTCCCTTAAGACAATAAGACTTAAGAGTAATTTGCCTTTCTGTTCCTCAGAGTGGGTTGAAGCCTGACTGCAGACAAGACTAATGAGGTAATCGCACTGACACAACACTTCGGCAAGAGGGAGACCAGCAACCAGAACCCACTTCCTCTCTAAGACAAGGGTCCCCTCTAAGACAAGCGTCCCCTCTATGTGAAAGGAGCTACCTGCCTCCTAATGACACATGTTCAACACCAAAAAAAAAAAAAAGTGATGCAGAAATTTTCAAATTTTTCTCAAACTAAAGTTGCTTCCCCCTTTTTAAAAAAGAGTCTATAATTTAGATCTATAAAAAGAACCTACTTAGCACTGAATAGTTCGCAGCGCTCACCACAATTCAACAGAATAGGAACATTTCACTAAGTTTCCATAAAAACTTTAACAAATTTTTTAAAGCATTCCTAATTAAAGGGCTTCTGGCATGAAGAGAGATGCTGAAAAGTGTGCTATTTATACCTGGGTAAGCGCCTTCTCGAACTTCAACAAGCACAGCTCAACCATCACCAGGTCACCCTTCTCTAAACTATCGTTTGTAATAGAAAACTTCACAACTTTAGAGCCAACCCTTTTATCAACCAAAAGGTAAAACTGCAGATATTGAATCATTGTAAGATTTCACACATTTCCAGAAAATGAGTTCCTAGTGTCTCTATCTATCGTACTTTATGTTGAGGACTGATATAGTCATTCTCCTTCTAGCAGCTGCCGAAGTTCATTTGACACTGGGTAAGAGTCTTTCTTCCTCCTCCTTCCAGTTCAATTAAAATGCTCACGGCTGCTTGAATTCCCGGAAAATTAAGCTGACTTAATTAGGGCAGATGTCAAAATAATTAATAGGCCTATAGTAGATAAGTCTGCTATTAAAAGCAATACAGCTGTAATTAATTCAAAGGTGTAACCCTTATAAAAGAATCCTACATGTGTATACAAATGGAAGAACATTCAAAAAGATGTCATCACAAGCTAATATGACCTTCTTATCCAAGAACTAAACTCAATGCTAAATTTTTAAAAAAGAGGTTTTTTAAACTGCAATTTAGTGATGCAATATCTATTTCTACTTTCTATTTGTGTGTGTCATTATATATACTTCTTACAGTGTCAACATTCAGATCAAAGATAAAGAGAATACCAGTAACAAGAATGTGTAACATGGGATAGGTTCATTTTCACAATCTTTGTAAGGTGTGGAATGCTATGGACAATGCAGAGGTTTAATGAAGGCTTTGCATTTCTTCTCCCTGGAATTTGTCCAAACAAGACCCATGCAGAAAGGACACGGTTTGGTATTCATAAAACAAATGTACTGGGAGAGAAAGCCAGGAAAAAATCTGATTTTTATGACACACAAAAATCTTTGAAAGAGGTTGTGATTATTTCCTGCTAAACATTAGTAGCTGTCACGAGTCCATTAGCTCTCAAATTCCACTGTTCATTGAGAGCTATGAAACCATGCTTTATCTAGGGCCCAGGTTATCTTTAGGATGGAAAAAGAGCTGGTGGATCACACCCAGAACAAGCCAGCTCCGTGCCACCCTAACCTTAACCTGCTGGTTAGTCCATAATCAGAGACACCTTTCCAACAGCTCACCTCGGAGACAGAGAAGTCCCTGGCAAGCAGGCCTCAGTCCGCCCGCCAGGATCCTGACCCAAAGGAGCTCGCTGGTGAAGCAGGGGCGCATGGGGGTCATTCCTATGTGCCAGGGTCTCCGACAAAAGCAACTTCCCCTTGCTGCTCACGTGCGCAGCAAAGTACCTCCGCCTACTCAAATCTTAAACATAGAAACAAGGGCCTAGAAAAGGGTGTTTTAATTTCTGTCAGAAAGAAAGCAATGCTTGTCTGACTAAGTCAGGTACTGCAGCACTTAGCAAGAACAGCAAGAACCGCAACACCTACTAGACAATTAGCATAGCAATAGAAACCGGTTCCTAAACAAACCGTGGGAACAGCACCACCCAGTGGCGGTATCAAAAACTGCATGTGAGGTTCTGTCCTTGGAGATCAAAGTGATTTCTCTAAAATCAAAGTCCACCAGGCTGGAACAACCTAAAACAGACTTTACCTGCAACCCCCCTCCCACCGTCACCCCCACCAGCCTGATATCTAGGCTTGGAAGAAATGTCATTTCTTATTTTCTGAGTAACTGACAAAAAGGTTGCCAGATGAAAGAGAAAAATGCATGTTCTGTGCAATAACTGTGGAAATTTTACTAAAAAAGTATTCCATGATCAACAAAAATTCAAATTTAACAGAGCAGCCTGTGTTTTCACATGCTAAGATCTGGCAGTCCTATGCCTCCTCTCACCTAAGTGACTCCTGCCCCAAGTAGTCACCCTGAGGCCAGAGGTTCATTTCCACCACTCTTCCAAACACGTCTGGGAAGAGTAAGCAGAATGCCACCATCCCCTAGCAAAGGGCAGGGAAAACACCATCCCACAACACAAAAGTCTAGGTGGGATAGGTAGTTGGATGATAAAAATGGGTGTACTGAATATCAATGAATGGAAGAAAATGGAGAGGAATTGGACAATTACGGAGGATAAGAAGAAATGGAGAATTAGCAACCTTTGCCTCCTGACCACTGTTCTGAAGTGAAGGTGTTGGGCCAGCCTAGTGCTGCTGTGGTTACTCCCACATGTAGCCCAGTGGTCAGCGAGGTTGACTGCTCAGACTATTAGGGGAAAGGATGTCCTGAACAAACTCTATAGATACAGGTTTGTGGACCCCACCCCCAACCCAGACACCAGAACTACACATCTCAGCATCACCAAAGTGGGGATTGCTGGGAACGGAGGGTGGAGTTAAGCAGAGATATTTGGATAAAAAGCCGGATGTGGCAAAGCGTGTTAAAGCACAGCACTGCAAGCTAGCCACAGTCACTTCAGTGCAAGTTCGATTCCCCAGCCCTGGAGGTGACCACATGGTGCAGCAGACCTCTCCTGTCTCGTCCGCTGCTCCCTTCAGCAGTGTGCTTTATAGATATGCCTGTTCTGCTCCCCACTCTGTCTCTAGTGAACCCTCTCACTGTCCCTGCACCTCTGGCCTGTACCACAGTTCTGTATGCATAAATAAATAAATCTTAAAAAAAAAAACAACAGACATGTGGGCTTGGAGTTCTCTTGGCCTCCTGCTTCACTGCTTGACTCTTGGCTTTTCACCAGTTCTCAGCATGCTATTGTGTTCCAGGTCAACAAAACCGATAGGACACATTAACCAACTTATCTCTCTCCTCTCTGAGTTATTCATTTGCCTTTCTCATGTCAATAAACCCATTATTAATCGTTTTTATAGGTGCCTGCAGTTAAATCTCATCATAAATCCCTTTAAGTGCACAGGTGAGCATCCACCCAATTCACATTGGGTTTGTCCTGTAACCAGACCAGAAAATCTGCCTCCTCCTGAAGGACTCAGCACCACCCACGGTCCCCATCCACAGGCCTTTCTTTAGAAAGGGGACATTAAATGGGTTCCGCTCCAGTTTTTAGAAATAAGTAAAGCGCATTTTGTAAAAAGGCACGCCTGGGTCTGCTCTGCACGCTTTGCTGTGGCCAGTGCCTGCCGGGGCCCCGCGCACCTTTGCAGTGGACCGCAATGGCTCCCTCTGTGTTCTCACAGATGTTGAGGAAGCGCCGCACGATGTTGTCGCTCGGGGTGCTGCCGTCGATGAAGAAGAGGTCGTAGTGCTCGAAGCCAGCGTCCGTGAAGCGCTTGGCCTCGTAGATCTTCTTGTTCAGCCTCACAATGGCAGTTACGTTGTGCTTTTTGAAATAAGGAAAGTAGGCTTCAGGGGCGTGGAGAGGATAACCTGAAGGGGAAAGGTGTGTGTGGTGAGCAAAGGCACGGATTTTCTCTCACATCACTCAGACTCGAAAACCCTCCCCAGTGAAGCCTGTAAACCGAGGGAGAGTTGAGGAGGAAAGTACATTTCTAGAGGGAGCAGAGTTGGGCACAATCATATTGTAACAGGGTGGTCCCCAGGAAAAGGGGAGGTTCCAGGTTCCCTGCCCTGCCCAGAAGGAGGGTGGAGCTGAGCAGGGAGAAGAAGAATCTGGAGAGGAGGCTGAAGATGGAAGGAAGCAGGATGGAGAGCCAGAAGGTGACCTGAGGGAGGCACAGGGAGGAGAGACATGAGAAGAAGCAGCTCTTATTTCTTATTTCCTAGACTGATTGAAGCAGATGTGGGTGAGAGACCCGTGGGGAGGTTGACAATGGCAGTGTTTATCTTGATTTTGATTTTGCTCTTTTCCTCCCAGACTTGTCTGGCCATTTCTGGCCCTTTTCTATGGGTTCCCGCGGAAAGGTGCTTTAGACTTATGGCAGCTTTCAGGCCTTGCTTTGGGCCAATCCCTTTTGGGTGGGCTTATACCCACGAGGGGATGGGTAACTTCGGGTGTCTGACTTAGAAACTCTATTTTTTGTCTTTTCTGTATTGCACACTAACTGCATTAAAGTTTCTTTCCATTGAAGGTCTTATATGTTTTGTCTTGATGTGGTAAATGGCAGAACCTATTTAGAGCAGACAGGTTTGGGGGTGCAGGGGTGCCCCTCTCCCTTTCCTATAACACTATAAACAGTAGTCTGAATAACTGGAAAGACAGAAAGAAAGAGAGGGAAGAGAGACTCAGAGAGACCAAAGAGAGAAACTTCTGCAAGTATTGGGAATAGCTGGTGAACACGCAAAGCTTCAGCCCCGAAGGTTTAAATCCTGGGAACATACTCCTCTCCAGTCCAAACAAACCGGGAAACATTAGAAAGTGCAGTCAGCCTGGAATAATTCTTTGTGCTTTTCATTCCACTTCATGAACACCTTTCAACGACAATTATGGCCTTTGTGCCAGATGTATAGTTTTAACCCATAGTGTAATCCCCTCACAAAGGAGATGAATGACTATTAAATTAAGCACCTACCACTTGCAAATCACAATTGTATATGATTTCTTTTCATTCTCAAACAGGCTTTTAAGATAAGAATGGTTAACACCATTCAGCAGAATGAGAGACTAAAAGAAGCTGAGCACTTCTTATTGTAGACGGTTTCTGTGGGGGGTGGGCGACAGGTGGTCAGTCTCTAAACCCCTCCTGTTGTGGGTGGGGTCTCCAAATGACAAATTCCAGAGAGCTTCTAGGTCAGGGGATACGACACCTGACCCACACTTAGCCAATCGCAGGGGGTAATGGAGGTTTTAGCCAAGGTGACCTTGCCCAGCCCTCTGCCTTAAGGACAATAATTTCCGGTAGCCCACTGGGGGCTGCAGCTGCACCCTGTCCACTGTGTTTGCTCTCCCTTGGTGCCTGTGTAGGCCGGTCATGTCTGAGGGTCTCAGCGCCCATCAGTTTTCCTTATACCTGACTCTGTGAGGCTGGGGCCAGAGTCTCCCAATTACATTTCCCGTATGACCTTTCCAGCTGGTTACCTGGGGTTCTAAAAGCACAATTGGGGGAGGGAGTGAAGGAAGGAGGGTGGGTCCCTCAGTTTAAGTTAAAAACTGGTGGCATA